CCCCTGCCCGCTGGCCAGCAGCTGCACTGAGTGCTGTGTCAGGCAGTGCCAGAGCTCCCACGTTGTCATTGAGCCGCCTGCTGTGCTGGTGACCCTGCCTGGGCCCATCCTCAGCTCCTCCCCACAGAACACCGCCGTGGGATCCTCCACCTCTGCTGCTGTTGGCAGCATCCTGAGCTGTGAGGGAGTGCCCATCAGCTCTGGGGGCTTTGACATCTCCTGCATCACCAACTGCTGTGGTGGCAGCAGATGCTGTCGTCCCTGCTAAAGATGCTGCCGGTACATCGTCAGGCAAGAACCTCGGACCATGATGATGGAATGAAGTCAGAACTTAACACATTGGATTTAGAGCTTTGAACTATTGTTTTCTTCTCCTCCTCTCATTTTTCTCTTCCCTTCCTTACCTGTCACCACCACTCAGTGCCAACCTAGTGGGGCCTGTTGGCCTCCTTCCCTCAGCAGCCCACGACATCAGACATCCCTGCTGCATCTTAGAGGCTGCATTTGGGTGCACTCTCTGAGCCTTCTTCTTATCTTGTTTTGACTTAATAAAGTTCTTTTGCATTCAAACCTCGGCATCTGATTTGCCTTTCCTTCTTTGAAAACTCTTCCAGGTTGCTCACTGGAAAATGGGTGGGGGAAGCACAATGATGCCATCCCTGCAGTGCAATTTTATTTGTTCCTTTTCCCTTGGTGGTGACAAAGATGTCCCTCTCTGTGTGGACCATGAGGCATTGAAATAACTTGCCCAGAAAGATTCTGATGCCTCAACACTGCAAAGTGTGGAAGACCGGGATGGACAGAGCTTGCTGCAAGCGGGTTTAGTGGATGGCATCAGGGCCCCTCGGTTGAGGGAAAAAGGGCGAGAAACAAATGGTCTTGAAGATCCCTTCCAGCCCAAATCATTTCTAATGAAATTTGCATTCACAGAGGCATCAGCAGTGGGACAAATGTGCTCAGTGCTGGGCATTGCTGAGTCCCCTTTGGACACAGCTGGAGCTGACTCAGTCACAGCTGCCTGGAGCCACTGGACTCTTCTCACAGAGCCCATTCCTGCAGCCTTGGTTACAAAGTGTGCCATCATGGGCAACCATGACACAGGAGGAAGCCCTGCTTCCTGGGAAATTTCCAGCCATCACTTCCTGAGGGAAGGAGGCCATAGATTGATTTTGTTTCCCGATGTACTGGTGCATGCATAATCTTTCCCTTTACCATTGCCAAACTGCCTTCTATCAAGATTCACTTTGTTATCAGTTTGGATTTATCTTGTCTTTCTGCCTGAGAAAGGGGATTGATAGAGCAGCTTGCTGGGCACCATCCATCCAGGCAAGGGCCACCGAGCACAGCTCGCAGTCCCGCCCAGGGCAAGAGCAGGAACGAGCTGCAGGAGCAGGCATGGAGTGCTGACCAAAGGGAGATGTAATAGAGGGGAAGCAAGACCACAAAGAACACCTTCTGTCCCCAATCCATTCCCAAAATGGGCCGGGAAAACAGGCTGCATGTGAAAACTCCTGGGATGTCACAAAGGGATGCGGGAGAGATGGGCAGGGACACAGGGAGAATGAGAGTGATGTCCTGAGTGCTTTGCCACAAAGAAACCCACAGGAATGACACAGGTTTGGGTCATCTGCCTGCATGGAATGCCACCAGACCATGATCTGAGCATTCTGCCTACTCTGACGTGTTTAGATCCCAGAAATTCTTGGATCTCTCATTCCTGGCCCTAAAAGGAGTCTTTAGATAGGAACGCAGAGGGTAGAAGTCAGGAAATAGAGGCCGCAGTGCAGGAAAGCAGGACACAGCCCCTACCATTAACTGGGATGGTGCACATTTGCCATGAGCTGGTCAGAAAATTATGGCTTCCACTAAGGTGCCTGTGGGCCTGAGGCAGGGCAGGACTGCTATAAAAGGCAGCCCAAGTCTCTGCTCTCGCATCCACTTCTCTCACCTCCTCCTCTTCAGGAATCAGGTGAGTGGGAAGCCTCTCCTCCGCATCTCCTCCTCAAAGATGAGATCTCTTCTGGCTGGAGGTCTCAGCTGAGAGGGGCTGTTGTAGTGCAGGGCTGGGAGCTGCTTGTGCTGGGAGAGGGCAGGGGAGAGAAGGTCTTGTGTAGACAGAGAGAGGCTGGGACTTGGCTGAAGAGGCTCCTGGGCTTTGAGCAGGACACTGCAATGGGGGGCAGGAGGTGGCTTGGCTGCAGAGTGTTTGGGTGCAGTGCTGCTTCTCACGTGTCCTCACTTTGTGCTTCTCCCTGCACTCTGTGCCAGGTGCACCTGTGACTCCAAGCCATGTCCTGCTGCAAGCCCTGTGACCCTTGCTGCCAGCCCTGTGGCCCCTGCCCGCTGGCCAGCAGCTGCAATGAGTGCTGTGTCAGGCAGTGCCAGAGCTCCCACGTTGTCATTGAGCCGCCTGCTGTGCTGGTGACCCTGCCTGGGCCCATCCTCAGCTCCTCCCCACAGAACACCGCCGTGGGATCCTCCACCTCTGCTGCTGTTGGCAACATCCTCAGCTGTGGCGGAGTGCCCATCAGCTCTGGGGGCTTTGACATCTCCTGCATCACCAACTGCTATGGCAGCAGTTGTTGTCGTCCCTGCTAAATCTGCTGGCAACCTCCTTTGCCAAGAACCTCCACAACCTCAGAACGTGGAGCTGCACTGAATATCGATCTTTGGAACAATGGATTTGTGCCCTTGATTTACTGCTCTTTTCTTCCACTCTCTTCCCTTCACTGCCTTTCCTGTCTGCACAACCCAATGCCAGCCTAGTGGGGCATCTTTGCCTCCCTCCATCCCTCTGCAGGCCAGGCAAATGGACACCCCCAGTGTGCTCCCATATCTGCTCCTTTTGTCCTCTTTCAGCTACATCCTTCTCTTCCTTAGACTCAATAAAGTCGTTTTGCATCCAAACCTGGCCTTCTGATCTCTCATTCCTTGTGTGGGAACTCTTGCACTCATCTCAGGGCAAAAGCTTGAGGAAGCTGAGGGTGGACACTCCATGGTGGCCTTTACTTTGTGCCGTTTCTATTGGAGCTCCAAAACACATCCCTGGCTTCCCCCAAATAGTGATCATCAGAAGAAAATGATGTCAAAGTTCACCGGAGTGGGAATGGGAATCAGCAGTGCCTGGGATAATTCCACATCATTCTCTCTTCAAACAACACACTCACATCAGTTTTCTGCTCAGGTTTCAACGAAACAAGCAAGGACGAGGGGTTTCACAGGAACAACAGAGCACAGGGACAGAACCAAAACCACCTTCATACTTTGTTGTAGGCTGACACATTTTCCCCTTCTGTATGTGGGAGAGGATAAACTTTCCCATCCTCTAGTCTCCACCGCCCAGACACTGACAACACTTTCTCCATATCACATATTCTCCTTGACAGCAACAATATCCCACAGCTCCGGGACTAAGGGGCAAAGGCCTCTGTGATCAATGGACTTCCCCATCTCCACAGAGAAAACAGAACCCTGTCAAATCAAACCTTCTCCATGAGGCAGGAACAGGGGCCTGGGAAAACAGCTGAGGGCCCCAAGGCTGCCTGGAGGTGGCATGAAAAGGATTTCCTGGGTTTGGGATTGCCCTTGAGAGATGTGAGTGCTGTGGCCCTGTCCAGGCTCCTGCAGAGAAGGAACTGGGGTCTGAGTGTGTGTCAGTGGCTGGCCCTGCTGGGCAGGGAAGGCCCTCCAGGCCGTGCAATGGCTGAGCTGAGAGCTCAGCTCAGGCCCAGCTGTGCACACACAGCCAGGGCACTGACGCACTGCCAGCCTGGCCAGGGGTGCTCAGAGATGAGCCCAGAGCACAGAGCCCAGCACACGGGCACAGGCACACGGGCAGGGGGGTTGCACACAAGGTCCCTGCCCTGTGCACAACCATCCCCGTGCAGGCCAGAGGCTCTGAGGGGCTGTTCCCAGCAGGGCACAAGCACAGGCATGTGCAGACACTGGCACACACCGGGCCACAGCCACAGTGCCACGCACATGATTGTGGGGGAGCAGATGGGGCAGAGGCCTGAGGAAGGGATGGCACTGAGGAGATGCTGGGGAGGTCCCAGCCAGAGCAGATTCTGGCAACACCAAGCAGGGCAGAAGTTCATGCACTCTGAAGGCTGAGGAGGAAGGCAAAGAGGTTTTACCTCAAAGGCAAGGCATGAAGGAGAGCTGTTGTGTGATGAGCCAAAGACTGGGGGGCTGAGAACTGATGAGGCACTTCCAGTCAGCAGGAACAAGAAACAACCCCAAGAATGCCACAAGCTGCCCATCACCTGCCTCCTTGTGATTCGTTCGTCCCTTAGTTCATCTCTCTAAACCACACTGATACATCCTTGCCCCAGGAGTCATGGAATCTTGCATACCAGCACTCAGAAGAAGTGCCCGTGAGGGAATGGGAATGAGGTAATCCAGGAAATGCAAAGTCATGGTAGAGGGAAAATCCAGCTCATGCCATACCATTCCCAAAGATCTTTCCATTCGTTTGGGATCATGCAGGAATATCGTCACCTGCGCAGCACAAACTGTGGGCCCTGAGGCACTGTGGGGCCAGGATAAAAGGCAGCCCAACTGGGGGCTATCTCAACCACTTCTGTCACCTCCTGCTCCTTGGGAACCAGGTGAGTTGCAAGCCTCTTTCTCCTCCACCCTCTCCCACGCAGCATTGAGCTTTTTGGGCTTTGTTGCGGCTCCTTGTTCTTGTGGGGCTGTTCTGCACTGGTGCTGGTGTGGGCAGAGGGCAGAGCGTGTGTTCTGGCCAGAGGCTGAGGCTGGGCTGAGGGGCTGATTTTGCTGCAGGTCAGGCAGGAGCAGAGCTGGTCCTGGCTGAGCTGGGAAGGAGCGTGCTGGGCGGAGGCAAAGGATGCCCAGGTTGGGGCTGGCCAGGCTGGAGCTGTGCAGGCTGCAGGGGCCTTGTGCTGCTGGGGGTGCCTTGCGGGCTGTGTCTGAGGTGTGCGTGTGCTCTGCTTCCTCCCTGCCCTCTGTGCCAGGTGCAGCGCCAGGCTCCAGACATGTCCTGCTCTGAGAAGTGCCAGCAGTGCCGGCCCTGCGAGCCTTGCTGCCAGCCCTGTGGCCCCTGCCCGCTGGCCAGCAGCTGCAATGAGTGCTGTGTCAGGCAGTGCCAGAGCTCCCACGTTGTCATCCAGCCGCCTGCTGTGCTGGTGACCCTGCCTGGGCCCATCCTCAGCTCCTCCCCACAGAACACCGCCGTGGGATCCTCCACCTCTGCTGCTGTTGGCAGCATCCTGAGCTGTGAGGGAGTGCCCATCAGCTCTGGGGGCTTTGACATCTCCTGCATCACCAACTGCTGTGGTGGCAGCAGATGCTGTCGTCCCTGCTAAAGATGCTGCTGCCAGCATCCTCAGGCAAGAATCTCGGATCGTGATGATGGAATGAAGTCGGAACTTAACACATTGGATTTAGAGCTTTGAACTATTGTTTTCTTCTCCTCCTCTCATTTTTCTCTTCCCTTCCTTACCTGTCACCACCACTCAGTGCCAACCTAGTGGGGCCTGTTGGCCTCCTTCCCTCAGCAGCCCACGACATCAGACATCCCTGCTGCATCTTAGAGGCTGCATTTGGGTGCACTCTCTGAGCCTTCTTCTTATCTTGTTTTGACTTAATAAAGTTCTTTTGCATTCAAACCTCGGCATCTGATTTGCCTTTCCTTCTTTGAAAACTCTTCCAGGTTGCTCACTGGAAAATGGGTGGGGGAAGCACAATGATGCCATCCCTGCAGTGCAATTTTATTTGTTCCTTTTCCCTTGGTGGTGACAAAGATGTCCCTCTCTGTGTGGACCATGAGGCATTGAAATAACTTGCCCAGAAAGATTCTGATGCCTCAACACTGCAAAGTGTGGAAGACCGGGTTGGACAGAGCTTGCTGCAAGCGGGTTTAGTGGATGGCATCAGGGCCCCTCAGTTGAGGGAAAAAGGGCGAGAAACAAATGGTCTTGAAGATCCCTTCCAGCCCAAATCATTTCTAATGAAATTTGCATTCACAGAGGCATCAGCAGTGGGACAAATGTGCTCAGTGCTGGGCATTGCTGAGTCCCCTTTGGACACAGCTGGAGCTGACTCAGTCACAGCTGCCTGGAGCCACTGGACTCTTCTCACAGAGCCCATTCCTGCAGCCTTGGTTACAAAGTGTGCCATCATGGGCAACCATGACACAGGAGGAAGCCCTGCTTCCTGGGAAATTGCCAGTCATCACTTCCTGAGGGAAGGAGGCCATAGATTGATTTTGTTTCCCGATGTACTGGTGCATGCATAATCTTTCCCTTTACCATTGCCAAACTGCCTTCTATCAAGATTCACTTTGTTATCAGTTTGGATTTATCTTGTCTTTCTGCCTGAGAAAGGGGATTGATAGAGCAGCTTGCTGGGCACCATCCATCCAGGCAAGGGCCACCGAGCACAGCTCGCAGTCCCGCCCAGGGCAAGAGCAGGAACGAGCTGCAGGAGCAGGCATGGAGTGCTGACCAAAGGGAGACGTAATAGAGGGGAAGCAAGACCACAAAGAGCACCTTCTGTCCCCCAATCCATTCCCAAAATGGGCCGGGAAAACAGGCTGCATGTGAAAACTCCTGGGATGTCACAAAGGGATGCGGGAGAGATGGGCAGGGATACAGGGAGAATGAGAGTGATGTCCTGAGTGCTTGGCCACAAAGAAACCCACAGGAATGACACAGGTTTGGGTCATCTGCCTGCATGGAATGCCACCAGACCATGATGCAAGCATTCTGCCGACTCTGACGTGTTTATATCCAGGAAATTCTTGGATCACTACTTCTGGCACTAGAAAGATTCTTCTGAGAGGAAAACACAGGGCAGAAGCCAGGAAATAGAGGCCGCAGTGCAGGAAAGCAGGACACAGCCCCTAACATTAACTGGGATGGTGCACATTTGCCATGAGCTGGTCAGAAAATTATGGCTTCCACTAAGGTGCCTGTGGGCCTGAGGCAGGGCAGGACTGCTATAAAAGGCAGCCCAAGTCTCTGCTCTCTCATCCACTTCTCTCACCTGCTCCTCTTCAGGAATCAGGTGAGTGGGAAGCCTCTCCTCCGCATCTCCTCCTCAAAGATGAGATCTCTTCTGGCTGGAGGTCTCAGCTGAGAGGGGCTGTTGTAGTGCAGGGCTGGGAGCTGCTTGTGCTGGGAGAGGGCAGGGGAGAGAAGGTCTTGTGTAGACAGAGAGAGGCTGGGACTTGGCTGAAGAGGCTCCTGGGCTTTGAGCAGGACACTGCAATGGGGGGCAGGAGGTGGCTTGGCTGCAGTGTGTTTGGGTGCAGTGCTGCTTCTCACGTGTCCTCACTTTGTGCTTCTCCCTGCCCTCTGTGCCAGGTGCACCTGTGACTCCAAGCCATGTCCTGCTGCAAGCCCTGTGACCCTTGCTGCCAGCCCTGTGGCCCCTGCCCGCTGGCCAGCAGCTGCAATGAGTGCTGTGTCAGGCAGTGCCAGAGCTCCCACGTTGTCATTGAGCCGCCTGCTGTGCTGGTGACCCTGCCTGGGCCCATCCTCAGCTCCTCCCCACAGAACACCGCCGTGGGATCCTCCACCTCTGCTGCTGTTGGCAGCATCCTCAGCTGTGGCGGAGTGCCCATCAGCTCTGGGGGCTTTGACATCTCCTGCATCACCAACTGCTATGGCAACAGTTGTTGTCGTCCCTGCTAAATCTGCTGGCAACCTCCTTTGCCAAGAACCTCCACAACCTCAGAACGTGGAGCTGCACTGAATATCGATCTTTGGAACAATGGATTTGTGCCCTTGATTTACTGCTCTTTTCTTCCACTCTCTTCCCTTCCCTGCCTTTCCTGTCTGCACAACCCAATGCCAGCCTAGTGGGGCATCTTTGCCTCCCTCCATCCCTCTGCAGTCCAGGCAAATGTCCACCCCCTCTAGGCCCCCATGGCTGCTCCTTTTGTCCTCTTTCAACTACCTCCTTCTCTTCCTTAGACTCAATAAAGTTGTTTTGCATCCAAACCTCTTCCTCTGATCTCTCATTCCTTGTGTGAGAACTCTTGCACTCATCTCAGGGCAAAAGCTTGAGGAAGCTGAGGGTGGACACCCCGTGGTGGCCTTTACTATGTGCCTTTTCTATTGGAGCTCCCAAACATATCCCTGGCTTCCCCAGAATAGTGATCATTAGGAGAAGATGATGTCAAATGGTCACAGGAGTGAGAGTGGGAAACAACAGTGCCTGGGGATATTCTACAACCTCCTCTCTTCAAACACCTCCCTCACATTTGCCTTCTGTCCTGCTTGTCAACCAGACAGGAAGGGCTGTGTTTTGTCACAGGATCAACTGAGCATGGGGACAGAACCAAAACCAAAACCATCCTCCCACCATGCTGGAGTCCCCCAGTGTTTCCCCTTCTGGATACGGGAGAGGACAAACTGCCTCATCTTTCTGGCCTCAACTTCCCAGACGTGTTCAAATGTTTTTCTCCACTTGACTCATTCTTTTTGAGAGCACCATTTTCCCACAGCTCCTGGCTCAGGACAAAGGCCACTGTGGCCAGAGGACTCCCCCATCTGCTCAGAGACAAAAGAACCCTGTCACCTCAAAGCCTTCACATGAGGCAGGAACAAGGACTGTGGGGAAACAGCTGAGGGCTCCAAGGCTGCCTGGAGGCGGCATCAAAGGGATGGCCTGGTGTCCTGGCTTTGCTATATGATGCTTTTATCCTCAATTGACTTGTTTTCTTTATGCTGAACAATAAGTTTTCCAACAATAAGTCTTAAGACTTGATTCAGAGAGTGAAGTGGGCAGAGAAGAAGTGTGCAGTTTGTTTTCAAACACTGCCCTCACTCCTCCACATTCCTGCTCCAGGACTGTTGCTGTCTGCAGATGGACAGACAGTAGGACAGAACTCTCCTTTGTTTCTTTGTTTTAGTTAGTTTAGCTAGCTGTGGCAAAGATGTTCCTTGGACTGTGGGTTTTTTCCCTTTTCTTTGGACCTTTTGACACCTTTGAACACACAGCAGAGCGCCAGCGGCTCCACCTGTGGCCCACTAGGCCGGGCCTGGCCTGCGACATTTCCATCACTGGAGGGACTGACAAGAGACAGAGAGAGCTGAGATGCAACCCAGGGAGGGGATTTTCTGAGTTTCTCAGCTCTTTTGGAGCAGCAAGGGGCTCTATTGTTTAATATTGTTTAGGTTTTACTGTTTAATAAACAGTTTTTTCCACTTTTCTCTAAGGAGGTATTTTCTCCCGAACCAGCTGGGGGAGGAGCCAATTGAATCTGCTTTTCTAGAGGAACCTCTTGGGGGTTCTCTTCCAAATGTTCCCTGAACCAAGACCCCAGGGTTTGGGGTTGTCCTTGAGAAATGTGGGTGCTGTGGCCCTGTCCAGGTTCCTGCAGAGAAGGAACTGGGGTCTGAGTGTGTGTCAGTGGCTGGCCCTGCTGGGCAGGGAAGGCCATCCAGGCTGTGCAATGGCTTGGCTGAGAGCTCAGCTCAGGCCCAGCTGTGCACACACAGCCAGGGCACTGACGCACTGCCAGCCTGGCCAGGGGTGCTCAGAGATGAGCCCAGAGCACAGAGCCCAGCACACGGGCACAGGTACACGGGCAGGGGGGTTGCACACAAGGGCCCTGCCCTGTGCACAACCATCCCCGTGCAGGCCAGAGGCTCTGAGGGGCTGTTGCCAGCAGGGCACAAGCACAGGCATGTGCAGACACTGGCACACACCGGGCCACAGCCACAGTGCCACGCACATGATTGTGGGGGAGCAGATGGGGCAGAGGCCTGAGGAAGGGATGGCACTGAGGAGATGCTGGGGAGCTCCCAGCCAGAGCAGATTCTGGCAACACCAAGCAGGACAAAATATCAGGCAGCACAGCTACAGGAGTCTCATGCACTGTGAAGGAAAAGGAGGAAGCCAAAGAGGTTTTACCTCAAAGGCAAGGCATGAAGGCGAGCCATTGGCTTATGAGCGAAAGACTGGCGGGCTCTGAGCAGATGAGGCACTTCCAGTCAGCAGGAACATGAAATAACCCAAAGAATGCCTCAGGCTGCCATCACATGTCTTCTTGTGATCCGTTCCACACTTAGTTCATGTCTCTTAAGCACACTGACACATCTTTGCCTCCAGGAATCATGGAATCTTGCATACCAGCACTCAGAAGAAGTGCCCCTGAGGGATTGGGAATGAGGTAATCCAGGAAATGCAAAGTCATGGTAAAGGGAAAATCCAGCTCATGCCATACCATTCCCAAAGATCTTTCCATTCATTTGGGATCATGCAGGAATATCGTCACCTGCGCAGCACAAACTGTGGGCCCTGAGGCACTGTGGGGCCAGGATAAAAGGCAGAGCAGCTAGGGGCTCTCTCAACC